CCAGTTTCAGGAGACCTAATGCTCCCTCCCTTCTGGTCTAGCACAGATATCCATGCAAATGAAACACTCACACACATTTTTAAAAAACTGTAAATAAAGCAAGTAGAGAGACTAGAGAGATAGCTCAGGGGTAAGAGAAATGGCTGTTGTGGGACTCAAACGTGGTTCCCAGCAGTAACTGAGACCCACCCTGCCCTCTTCAGACATCATCTGTTCATATGCCATCTGTTTAGTTTTATGAATAAAAAGAATCTGCTAGTACAATTTGCTTTTAATGATAAAAAATTAAATATTTTTAAGATTTTTTTTAAACGTGTGTGTGTACACATGTATTATTTGTGCAGATGTCCACACAGTTCAGAAGAGAATTTAATCTCCCAGAGCTGGAGTTTATAGGCAGCTGTGAGCTGCCCAATGTGGGTGCTGAGAACCAAACTCAGGGGTCTGCAAGAATACTATGTGCTCTTAACTGCTAAGCCATTTCTCCAGCCCCAAATGAGTGAATTTTAAGCCGTATACTTGCTTCATAGGTCTAAAGTTAAATAAAGTTAACATTTATTTGCACAGTTAACATTTTAATAATCTAGCCGGGTGGTGGTGGCGCATGCCTTTAATCCCAGCACTCAGGAGGCAGAGGCAGGCGGATTTCTGTGAGTTCTAGGCCAGCCTGGTCTACAAGAGCTAGTGCCAGGACAGGCTCCAAAGTTACAGAGAAACCCTGTCTCAGAAAAAAAACAAAACAAAACAACATTTTAATAATCTGCTTTATCAGTTCCTTTTTTCCCCATTTTTTTATGCATTCACATGAATCAGAGCGTGCATTTCCTTACTTAGCATGTATATCATTAACTTTGATCCAGATTTACTGTTTTCTTAGAAGAGCTATTGTACAGTGAAATTTGTAGATCACAGTTCCATTTTTATGAGTCAGTTTCCCAATAGATGACCTTGCAGTCGGTATCAAGACCATGACCATATCAGAGATCATCCTTAGACCCTTTTCAATAAACTATCCCAGCCCCCACAGAGCTAAGCTTGTTTTATTTGTCCCCAGAATATATTAATCTTAGCCTGTTTGAGAGCTTCATCTACCTGCAACTAGAGAACATTTACTTTTTGGTGGCAGGCTTCACGTGGCATAGTGTTCATGGTCCAAGTGATGGTATATGTTGGTAGCTCATCCCTCTTTATTACATAGCATTCTGTCTGAATAGAGCACTGGATTAACTTTCCTTCTGGTTGTTGATGAAACCACTGAATATGTATGGGTCCCTGTAGGGTGTACTTTTCCAATGGGTAGTGGTGCAAGTCCTGGGTTATAGACTAAGTATACATTTAAGTTATGTGATCAGGCTGGCCATAAATTTGCAGGGCATCCTGCTTCTGCCTCCTAGTACTAGGATTACATGGTATTCATTATTGGGCCTTTCCTAGAAGAGATTTGGTGCTACTCTGCCCCACCATTTGGTTTTACAGTCATTTGACTTGTAGCCGTCTCAAGAATTTGAGTTCAGTTCCCAGAATCCAAAAAGGCAAGCATGGTGGCTCGTGCTTGTAATCTTAGTACTGGGAAAGTGGACACAGACTCAGTTCCAGGTCAGTAAGTGACCTTTAAAAAAAAATGGGATTAGTGTGATGGTTCAGGCCTTCCATCTGAACATCCAGACCAGGAGGATCACTGCAAATCTGAAACATTCTGGGACACAAAATACATTCCAAGACAGTTTGGCTTACAGAGACTTTTTGTTTTTATTTTTTTAAAAGATTTATTTATTATGCATACAGTATTCTTAGTAATCTGCCTGCATGTCTGCCTGCAGACCAGAAGAGGGCACCAGATCTCATAACAGATGGTTGTAAGCTACCATGTGGTTGCTGGGAATTGAACTCAGGACCTTTGGAAGAGTAGGCAGTGCTCTTAACCTCTGAGCCATCTCTCCAGCCCCGGTTTTGTTTTTAAAAAGATTATGGTGGGAGGGCTTGGAATTTTCTAGTGAAAGATGCAGGGGTTTGGAGTCAGGTTAAAAAGGCTTTAATGCTGTCCTTATTACCAGCTAGTTATGTGACAGTGATTCTCATAAAGTCCTTTACACTTTTTACTGTAAACGGAGATGGAAACACCTATCTGGGGGTAAAGGACACACCCCCCCATCAAATCATATTTTAACTTATTTTAACTTGAAACCATTAAGATAACCACATATCACCTGAGCTTTATTCTGCCAGGGACTGGCAGACCTTGAAACTAGGAATACCTTTTGTTTGTTTTTGGGTTGTTTTGTTTTTGTTTTTGTTTTTTTTTTTAATAAAAAAGCAGAGGAATAAAATCTGTTGCTTCATTGCCTACAAATTTGAAATGTGGAAATTTTTTCTTCCCATCCTAGGAGTCACCTCCTTGTGCGGATAATTACCGTCTCTCAGAAGCTGCTTTACTCCAAAATAAAGAATTTGGGCCAGGACTATCCCAGAAGAGGAGAACTTCTGCAGAGAATGTCATCAAACGACCTCGAGTGCACTAGCGCACTACTTTAGCCATCAGTGAATGTTCGCTAGTCTTAGAAACGGTTATAGGCTGGTGATAGTGTCCTTGCCTAGAATGCATGAGGCCTTAGGTTTAATCCCCAGCAACACAAAAGAAAATTTCAGTAACAGCATGAAGATTGTTGTGATGGGTTTGTGTAGTTGAAGACATACATCTGAAGGACTTTGCTCCTGGGAACCTGATGCTTTTAACAGCTGAATGTGAATCACTGAATATTGACTGCTGTAATAAAAAGGAACTTCACTAGTTTGTCAGGCCACAGAGTGCATAACTGTTTTTCTTGTAAATATCTGAAGCTGTTAATAGTTTAACAAGGAGATAGATTTTATTTCAAAATGTCTTAGTTCATAAAAGCAACAAAAGTTACCAATTGGGGTTATTTCACATTTTCCCTGATTTCTTTTATATATATATATTCTTGCCATTTTACCTATTTTTAACAGCCTAAGCATGGGGTTTAATGAACTGGGGCTTTAAACTTAAATGTGTATATATGTAAATGTATATATATAAATTTCCATGTTTGCCAAATGTGAGCACCAAAACATAAAAAAATAAAAAACAGCAACTCACACTGGTATTGTCTGTTCATTTAGCTCTGCTAAAGCAATAAGAGATTGCCAAACTTTAAGAACTGAATTGCTAATTACATTTGTGGTTAAGAAAAAAGAACATATATTTGTTTTGAGACAGGGTCTTAACTATGTAGCCCTGTCTAACCCAACTCTGCATTCTGGGATTCACACCCAGCCAATGTTCTTTTATCTCAATCCTAGCAATATATAGAACTTCATTTAAAAAAAAAAAAAAAGGTACATGCTGGGTGTGATGGCTTACACCTGTAATCCTAGCATTCAGAGTGGGGTCGGAAAGTCAGTGAGTTTGAGTCCAGCCTAGGCTGCAGAGTGAGTTCCACATCTAGCAAGAGGGATGTCAGAGATTAGGTTAAGAACATGTATCTCTTCTGGAGGACTGCCCACCACTCAAAATTGCCTATGGCTTCAACTTCAGAAGCATCTGATCTCTGGGCTCCATGGGACACCAGCCAGACATATACTGGTGTGGGAGGTTCTTCTATGTGTTGCTTTTATTGGTTAATGAATAAAGAACTGCTTTGAGCCTATGACAGGGAAGAACAGAACTAGGCGAGGAAAACTAGGCTGTATGCTGGGAGAAAGAAGGGTGGAGTCAAAAGTCATGGAGCTGCTGGAGACAGGCACTGGGAACTTTAGCCCATAAGCCACTTGTCATGTGGTGATTATAGATTAATAGAAATGGGTTAAATTAATGTCAATAAGAAGCTAGTGGGCCAAACAGTGGCAGTGATTTAATTAATATAGTTTCGGCGCTGAGCAGCTGGGAATAAACAAGCAGCCTCCCCTCCAACAACATACAACTAAATCTTCTAAAAGGTGGCAAAATATATGCTTCAAAATATCAAAACCTAGGGAGATGCATGGCTTGGCTCAGTGCATAAAGTACTTGCTAAGCCACCATGAAGACCTGAGTTTGGATCCCTAAAACTCAGGTGTAGGGTTCCAGAATCTAAGCAGTTATTCATTTTGAGACCTTATCTGAAAACCTAAGGTGGAGAGAGTACAAGTTAAACACGCTGCCCTACATAGTGCCTACGGTCATCTTTAGTCCCAGGAGCTCCAATGTCCTCTTGCTTCCATGGGGACCACGCAGCACCCAAATATACAGGCAAAACAATATATACATTAAAAATAAATGAAAAACAGCAAGAGACCTGGCTCTAGAAAAATGCCCAGGAATCCGTAAGGATGACCCCCAGCTAAGACCCTAAGCAATAGAGAGGGTGTCTGAACTGGCCTTACCCTGTAGTCAGACTGATGATCATCTTAAATATCACCATAGAACCTTCGTCCAACAACAGATGGAAACAGGCAATGACTCACATTGGAACACTGGACTGAGCTCCCAAAATCCAGTTGAAGAGTGGAAGGAGTGAGAGTATGAGCGTATGAGCAAGGAATTGAAGACCATGAGGGGCTCATCCACTGAGACAGTTTGCCTGAGCTAATGACAGCTCACCAATTCCACCTGGACTGGGAGGGAATGAGCATGGGAACAAAGAAGTCCCTCTGAAGGTGGTTGACAGTTGGGGCAGACTGAGGGGCCACTGATAGTGACTCCCAAACATTCCTTCTGCCCCACCCCACCCCCCAAAAAAGGTGGGGGCTTTGGCATGAAAACTTGCAGTGTACAGGATAAAAGGCTTTAGATCCCCCTTGCCATAACAAAGTTCAGCTCTACTGAAGCCGCTAGAGAATGAGTCAACATCTTTCCATTAGGAGTGTTTCAGGCTTGCAGCCATTCTCACCCCATTTAGCTTCTTTGGAAGTAGGCAAACTAGTGCACTCTTGACAGAGAGCAGTCGTCATCCTGAGACGTGACCCCGACACTGCTCTCCAGTGTCTACAGAAAATATCACATCTACCACTCATAGATTTTCTTTTTATTCAATGTTAATGTTACAGAGTTCTTACACTGTCGAACCATGCCTGAGAACCCAAAGAAATGGTGCAATGGACAGCCTCATCCACCCAGACAGTGTATTAAAACTTGATTCGTGTGCATTTCAATAATTTCACAATCTTAAAAAAATTATAACAAGACTTGGAATTTACATCTGCTGCAGGTCTTCAGCGTTCCAGTACAGTGTGCCATTAAATGAACCTCTTCACATCTGTCTCCGTTCAATTCTCAAACCTTAACCCCAAACAGAATGGGGCTTGGGGAAGGGGGGAGCCTACTTTAAGGTAAGTAGGTGTCTCAAGGTGTGAGATTACTTAAGGTTTCTAGTGCCCAAATAAGTCTTTAGTTCAATGAAGATATCAAATGTCTAATCACCCAACTTCCTCCTGGCTGGCTCAGATCATGCCAACATTACTGCCCAGAATGGCATGCAGTTTTGGTCAGGAAACACTGGCCAACACCTCCTGCTTCCCACACTAACTGCTGCATTCAATCACCAAATTGCAAGACAGTCTCAAGCTGGGAGAGCTTCCTTCATTACCTGTTTTCACTTCTGTCAGTACTGAACAAGTCTGAACTGCATTTTGCAAAGGGATTCATTAGAGAAACTCAGGCACTGACATCATGTACTTAGTTGCCAATAAAGAATATTTGTACTGAAGCATTTCTGGGGACACGGAAGTAGGTAACCGCCTCGCTATTCCATTAGATGGAAAGGAATACAGCAGTACCCTCTTACCCTCTTGAAGGGCCAAGTACTACTGCAGTTATATCTAATTACTAAGAACAGAAGTGATACATCACTGGCAATTCCCCTGCCTTTCCAAGTGAACATCACAAAATATTCCCTAGGTGAACAGAGCTGTCTAGAACAAGGAATGTATCTACAAAATAGCCAGTATCTTCAAATTTTGGGCACACACAAGATTTTTTTTTATCAGACACCATGCAAGATTCATGAAACTTCAGGTTGTTGGTGAGGTTTTGCACCTGTTGCTTTGAAATGTTAAGACAGGCCAGTGAACCCCTCCCCACCTGAGCAGACACCACTCTGTCCACAGCAGTTCAATTTAAACCTGATTAGAGGAGGATTGAGCAGAACCGGAGTGGAGCCTCTGGCACCCGCTGCCCTTTGTATCAAAGGCTATCTGGTTCCACCTAGGGATTGGCAAATTCACAGGTCATTTCACAATTCCAATGCCTCATTCAGGCTATTTTACCACACAATACGCTGTCCAAGAACTTACTCCAAGTCAAAGCAAGGCCTTAATGTGGAACATAACAAGCACTATCTGGATAAAAAGGTATTCAAAGAAACAAGACTATCCCCCACCCTTTCCCCATTTGGTGGATCCAAGTTTGGTTGAATTCAATCTGTAGCCACCTCATACTACAACTAAAAACTTAAATTATAAATCATAGCCCCACACAGATGATCCAAACACAACAGTTTTGACAGCGGCTTATTCCAAGAAGTCTAATGTAGCCACAGCCTACAGAGTTCCTTAGAGTGGGCACAGAACAGGCTATTTAAGGTCACTTAACTCTTCATCTTTTACAGCAGATCAGAACCCAGATGGCTGACTTCTGAAGGCTTCCCGAAAGGAATCCAGTAGAGTTGGTTTCAAGGTTCACACTGATACTAATAGCTGTAACTTATGCAGAAGTTGTGATCCACATGAAATCCACAATTAAGTGCAGCAAATCTGAGGTAGTCAACCTTGCGAAGGCTCAGTATCTGAACATAAAGATGTTTGAAATGACCACTGGCTGCAGGTTTGGTTTTATATGCAGAGCAACTATGGGAACACAGCTGAATCTAATTCACAAATATTTAAGACAATGAAAACACCCCTAAATCCAACACACATCAAGATCAGTTGTGACTCTTGATCTTCCATAGTGCAACAGGGACAGTCACTGGAATCAAGGTCTTCATCAATCAGTCACTGTAGATCCAGATATGAGACGCTGAATGGCTGTTCTTGGTGGTTAGCTGTGGTCTAGTTATCTTGGGAGGCTTAGCAAAGACCATTGCTTAACTGTACTGTGTGTGGCTGTACTTCTGATTTTCAAGCACAGCATACTGGTTGTCTAGCTGAAGTTTAAGGGCCTGGTTTTTTGAAACCTCCTCCCTACCTCTATTTTTGTGTTTTACTACTTCAAAGCTCTTCTCCATTTCTTTATCCCTAAGGGAAAAGAAATGTAATCAGTAAATATTTCTTCTTCACTGGGGAATTTTGAAAGTATTCTTCCTTGAATTAAAAAAAAAAAAAGAAAGAAAAAAACAAACCTAAGAATCATCCTGGACAGGAAGGAAATACAAGATCCATATCAAACCACTTAAGGCTTCAATTGAACAGAAAACATGTAATACTGTACTGAAGCTCTGAGGTCCCATCTTCTGAAGAGACTATTTTGGGACCAACTTGAAGACAAGCGGAAAGAAGCTGTGTAACGACATTTCTCCTAAGACTCACTTCTAAGTTTTAGCAGTTAGTAGATACATCTTTATGCTTAAGGGTGCCTGTTTACTCAGTCAAGTAATGTTCTCATCATTCAACGATTTCTCCTCCCTTTTGCTTTGGGGGAGTGGTCTGATTAGATCAGGTAAAGAAAGGTGTGTGGCAAGTCACTGCCCTCTCAGTCCCCCCACACATTTGAGGACAGAGCAGAGAAGCAAGTCCAACTGGAGGTCTAAATTCAAGCCAGCTGTGCTCTCAATGAGGCGAAAAGGCTGGGGTTTACTTTAAAGCCACCCAAAAAAATTTTCCATCTGATGCCATTTACATTTCTTCCCATTTTATTTACTTTTGAAAATTCATGTCCCTAAATAAGATGTAGATGTGCCATATGTGGTCATTTAACTTCAGGTAGCATTCATTTTAAGTACCTGCTGAAATAAGATCATTTTTAGTATTAGATTTGTAAATGCCAACATCTTTCTTCTACTCTCATTTATTGGGAATGCAATGATAAATGCTTTTACATTTCTAGCTTCCATATTTAAAAGGGACAAACCAGTAATAATGTACTTTTAAGAACGAACTAAATGCAGCTGTGACAGAAAGCAGACAGCAAAGCCTGTCTTTAGCACCCTTTTTCTTGCTCTTTCCAAGGACTCTTCCCCCACCCTCTGTCTTCCTTCCCTCCTGGGTACCTAAGTCCCAGCTGATTCCCAAGTGCCTGGTCAGAGAACCTACTCATAACCTCACATACTTACTTCCGGCTCTCTACGTGCTTGGCAGTGGACTGCAGGGATGGGAACTGTGTGTCACTGTATATTTCTGGTGGTCCTTGAGGCGTTTTTCTTGTTGTGGTTAGCCTGGCCCCAGGAGGCCTATATACACCACTAGGCATTGCCGGCTCCGAGGTTTCTGTAACTAATAGATAAGGCATTTATTCAAATGTGTGGCCTTCTAGTAACATCTTCCCACACTCCTGATCATTTAACAATTATGAGAGAAGCAAACACTGATTCACAAGGGATTTGGACAGGACAACAAAAGCAAAGTTCTGTGAAAAACAACTCAAAGTAGAAAGCTCATCTCTAAGGCAGCGAGCGCTCTAACTTTCCTGAGAATAAATCTAACATGCCATACATCATTATGAGTGAGGTTACAAGCTTGAGGGAGGGGAAATGAGGAGTCCTCAAGAGATTACCTTTTGGAATACAACACCAGAGTTCCTGGTGTTTCTATCAGTAAATGTGGTATTCACTTTCTTTACTCAGAAGGTAGTCTATACAAGTTGTCTTATCTAAAGAATTTATTTAATAAGATGCACACATAGTATTTTAATTTCTAAAGATGATTTTAAAAATAGGCAATCCTTATCTTTATTTCATTCTCTAAGATCACTGGATGTTCAATTTCTCTGTTCAATCAGAAAACAGGAAAAGGCCCCCCGAACAGCTTAAAATCTTTTACGAAGACTTATTTTTCTGTATTCCAACTGATCCTCGATATGGTTTCAAGCAGTGTATTTTTCACTTTTCAAAAACTTTCTTTTCAGAAATTTGCTAGCCTACCCCATGAAAACACAATAAACATTCCTGTGTCAGCTACTAGCTTTATATGTCTTTATAGTTTAAAAGACTGTTTTCTATAGGCTTAGAAGGGAATGCTTACATGCTTACTTATTTTAATGAGAATCTAAATTGCACTTAGAATAAACAAATTTTTGGGAGTAGTGGAACATGCTCACAACATCAGTACTTGGGAGGCTGAGAAAGGATCAGAGTTCAAAGCCAGCCTGAGCAACTCAAAGAGAAACCAAATCAAAACTTAAATTATGTTCCAGCACATTAGGCACATGAGGCTTTAAAATAAAAACTTTTTTGTGTCTGTGGGTGGTGTAATTGTGAGTTGACATCCCAAAGTATTCAAGTGCGGCAATCAGAAGACAAGTTTTAGGAATTAGTTTTCTTTAACAGTGGATTTTGGCCATTTAAACTCTGGCCGAGCTATCTGCAGACAGTGCGAAGCTGGCCTGTTTGCTCACTCATTTGTTTTTCAAACAGTCTCCACTTTGTAGCCCTGGCTGCCTCAACTCAAATACTCTATTTGCCTGTGTTCTGAGTGTGGGGATTCAAAGCAACACATGTAGTTAGCTATTTTAGATGAGTAAAATCAAATCTAGGTTTCAATTTCTCAGTCACATGTGACTAGTGGCCACTATACCACTGCACTCTTCCATCACCTCCCAAAAGTCTACTGGTCAGCATGTTCTAGAAAAGACCAAAACAAAAAACAAAAACAAGAAAAAATGTGTGTCTGTGTGTGTACAGAGATCTCCGTATTGGATAGAAGAGCTGGATTCCTTGAAGGTGTTTATGAGCCCCGGATAGGAGTTCTGGTTCTCCAGTAGAGCTGAAGAACACATAACTAATGAGCTATCTCTCCAGTTCCAAAGGAGATGCATTTTTATAGGTTTACGGAGGGTTTCAGTGATTAAGCAGACTTGAAAAGAACTGAAGGCAAGATGGCTTGGCAGGTAAAGACACTCTCTATGTATAAACCTGGTGGCTAGATTCAGCTCCACGAACTCACCACAGAAATAATAAAAATCAGAAAAAGAAAAAACAAACACATAAAACTAAGAGTTAGCAAACAAGCTATATCTGGCCCAACAACTGGAACAAGGCTACACCCATCACTGTTATGTCCACATCAGCTTCCATGCCACAGCAGCAGACACCACCAGGTCCTCTCCTCCACATTATTTACCATCGTCTTCACAGAAATTGCTTCAGAAACCTGACACAAAGAGGAAAGATACCAGCCCCAAAGCATAAGAACAAGGAGTCTATAAAAACTGTGTGTCTGGTACATTCCTGGAGTAGCCTGAAAGATTATCAATTTCAAGAGAGAAAAATCAAGTATCACTATCATGGTATTTAACTTCAGCACTCAGAGGCTGGGGAGATGGTTCAGATGTAAAGCGCTTGCCATAAAAGCATTGAGAAGTTAAAATTTACACCAACCAGAACTCGTGAAAATAACATGGTAGCAACATGTGCCTATCCCAAGTGCAGTGTTGATACTCAGTAAATAAGGACGTAAGCTTTCCTTCTGGTATAAGCCAAGCCTACGGAAACTAACAGGCTAGGCGACAGTATGTGCCGCCTGTAATCAGCGCAGGCTTGGGTGGGTGGTGACAGAAAAACAAGATCCCAGGGGAGAGCTGGCCAGCTAGCAGTCTTTAGTGCGCTCTAGACTCAGTGAGAACTTGTACCAAAATGTGAAGTGTAGAGTGACATAGAAGAGACAAGAAGTCAGCCTCTGGCCTCAACGGCCACACCCACATGAAGACGTAGCACAACACCCACGCATGCACAAACAATCTGAGGCTAGCTAGCCTGGGCTGCATAGTGAGAACCTGTGCCAAAAAGCAAGTGGTTGGAAGGTCTCTTGAGGAGTCAGGATGAATATTACCGAAACATATTCTATGACATTCTCAAGGAATCAAAACAATTTAAAAACATTTTAAATTAGAAAAGTTGTCAGGACCTGGATGGAGGAGGGTGGTCCTTGGACTTCCCACAGGGCAGAGAACCCTGATTGCTCTTTGGGCTGACAAGTGAGGGGGACTTGATTGGGGGAGGGAGAGGGAAAGGGGAGGCGGCGGTGGGGAAGAGACAGAAATCTTTAATAAATAAAAAAAGAAAAAAGAAAAAGAAAAGTTGTCAGGAAAGCTTACTCCTGTGTAATCTCAGGAAAGGGGGTGGTAGTGGCTGTGATTTGAGGTCATCACTGCTATACCAAGGACTCAAGGCCACATGAGCTACATATAAAATGGTGTTTCAAAATAAAAAATAATGCCGAAGATTTGCCAGCTAGAAATGCAGTTCAGCAATACGTTTAGCATGTGTAAGGCCCTTAGTTCAATTTCTAGCACATCAAAAATAAGCAACAACTTCAGGCTACAGAGATGGCTCAGTGGATGTTTGTTGAGCAAATAAGGCCCAGAGATCAGACCCATGTAAAAGCTATGCAGGGACAGCAGTCACCTATAATCCCTCATAGAGGTAGAAACAGGATCACAAAAACCAAGCTGGCTAGCTAGGCTAACTGCAATTGGTTTGAATTCCTGGTTCCTTGGGAGGCCGTAACCGCAACAAATCAAGTGGACAATGACAACAAGCTTCTGCCCATTCACAAGCACCTGTACAAACATGCAGACACGCACAACACACAAATATATCCCTAGGAATTTGTTTTCTTTTGTTCTTTTGTTTTACAACACAGGGCTTCCCTGTCAAACAGCCCTGGCTGTCTGGAACTCATTCTACTGTATGTACCCTAGGCTGGCCTCGAACTCAAGAGATCCACCTGCCTCTGCCTCCCCAGTGCTGGGATGCAAGGCCTGCGTCACCACCGCCCAGCAATCCTTAAGATTTTTTTTAGTTCCAAAGACCTTTTATTCTCTTCATAAAATAAATTCCTGCTGACAATTCAGGTTTCAAGACCTTCCTAAAAGTAGCACCGAGGATGTACTTTAGAGGTCGAATGCTTGCTAAGCAGGTTAACTACCTAGCTTGACAGTCTGCTAAATAAAACTTATGTGGTGTAATTTTTACAGTCCTTCCATTTGGATCTTATTAGGAACATATACATCCAGATCCCCCTCTCCCAGGAATGGTAAGGTTCCCACCCCACCCCACCCCACAACAGGCACATATACCACATTAAATTAGCCTTTCAGAAGGAAAACAGGATTACCTATTACTGGAGCAGGAGGTGCTTGTACTGGAGCTGTTTTATTCCAGGGACCTGAAGATTTTTCTACTCCACTACCACCTCCACCTTCTTCCCAGTTATCTCCTGGATCTTCTCTCTTTTCATTATCATCATCTTCCTTTTCACTATTGAAAAACAAACAAGTACATTTATAACTTCCCAAGTACCAGATGAATGAATGTACCACCACATGAAGCATTAACAAAAGAACATTTCTTTCTGAAATATGGTCACATGGTACAGCCCTGACCAGTATGGAACCAGATATGTAAGTAGACAAGGCCAACTTAGATGTCAGAGATCTGCCTGTCTCTGCCACCCTCTGCTGGGACTTAAGTTGTGCACCACCATGCCCAGCTAAACTTATTAGGGGAAAAAGGTGTTTGCAGTTGTATAGTCAAAGCACAACTTTTGAGAATCAGTTCTTTCAAGCATGTAGGTTCTGGAGCTGCAAACCAAAGTCATCAGCTTTAATAGCAAGCACTTTTTCCAATGAGCCATACTGCTGGGTCCCCAAAAGAATATTTCAATTAAAGCAAGCTATGTGTCCTAGGTGTTAAGACAAATTTCTTCTGGCTTATCTGGCTTAGTGTTCTGCCTGGGACTTTTTGTTTGTTTGTTTGAGGGCGTGTGTATGCTAATTAAACTAAATCATATTCAGAATCCAAGACAAATTTTTTGACCTCCCCTTTAACTTGATTTTGTGAGGCAGGGTCTCAGGTAGCCCAGGTTGGCCTTGAACTCAGTACATGACCAAGGATGGTCCTGGCTGATCTTCCTGCCTCTATCTCCCATGTGCTGAGATTCAAAGTGTAAACCACCATACCCATCTTTTTTATGATCCTTTAATGCTTTAAAGACATTGTCCACTAGTTACAAGTAATCACTCCATTTAAAGACCAATGATAGCCACTAAGAGGAACAACTTCATCTTCAATCTGCATTTAAGACTGCATCTCTGGGGTTAGGGACTTGCCCTGGCTGTGATCCCACATATTGAAAAAAGCAAGCAGAGAAGTAACCCCTATCTGGAGACTAAGTATGGTGACCTCAGCACACAGGCTGAGGATGGTGACTTCAGTGATGCCTTCTCCAAGAACACAAAAAGTTACAGAGCAGATGATTTGTCACCAGGCCTAAAGACTCAAGTTTAATCCCCAGGACCCACAAAGTGGGAGAATCAACTCCTGCCAGCTATCTTCTGACACGCATGCCACAGCATGCTCACACAAAATAAACTGTAATTAAAAAAAAAGATGCAGGCCGGGCGGTGGTGGCGCACGCCTTTAGTCCCAGCACTCGGGAGGCAGAGGCAGGCGGATCTCTGTGAGTTCGAGGCCAGCCTGGTCTACAAGAGCTAGTTCCAGGACAGGCTCCAAAACCAGAGAAACCCTGTCTCGGGGGGAAAAAAAAAAAAAGATGCGGGGGTGGGGGGGGGGGGGGGGGGGGGGGGGGGGGGGGTGGCTGGAAAGAGATGGCTTAGCGGCTAAGGGCACTGGCTGTTCTTCCAGAGGTCCTGAGTTCAATTCCCAGCAACCACATGGTGGCTCATAACCATCCATGAGATCTGGTGCCCTCTTCTGCCCTGCAGGTATACATGCAGACAGAACACTGTATTCATAATTTAAAAAAAAAAAAAGATAAAGAATATGGACAATTCAAACTACAGTTTTCTGTTTTAACAATCATTTAAAATGATACTGTGCTTACACTAACAAATTATATTTGTGCTATTTAAACCAACTAAAACATAAATATCAATACATCTACAGCAAATCCTTAAATTTTAATTTTAATGAGTACTTTTGAGTGCCAATGCACAGGAACTGATGAAATCCAGTTTCTGCCACCTCTTTCATTTACTGGTCAGGCTTTCAAGATGGCACTAGCTAGCTTTTAGATAAAATAAAAGATGATACACCGAATATAAAGAGCAAATGAGTTAGCACATATAGTATCCAGGAAACGATCTGGCACATAAGCATTGCTAGATGCTTTAATATTCATATGCATTTTATACACGCTGCACATATATATACCATGTTCATAAGACCAAACTTCAAAATTTTTTCAAAAAACCTTTTTGTTTTAAAATTTTGAAATGTATCAATATAGTTACACTATAATTGCTTTAGGGGTAAAATAGGTACACATCTAGACATAACTGACTAGCAATGTCCCAACAACCTCATCTATCCAAGATTGATGAAGATTCCCACACAGACCTTCATGGCACTTACATTTGTATATACTGAAGCAGCAATTTCAGTTATTCATCCATACCTCATATCTATTTACTCACCAAAGCACTAAATCACAATTGCTCAAATGAATATATGTTTAAGAGCATTTTCTGTAAAAGTAAGACTGGAGTTTAAATCCGTGGAACCTATGAGAGCCAGACACGGTCACTGTAAGCCCACCATTGCAGGCAGAGATAAGAGTATCCTAGGAGCTTACTGGCTAGCCAAAATGGTGTGATTCAGGTTCACCAAGAGACCTTACCTCAGAAAGTAAGAAAGTAAGGTGGAGAGAGATAAAACACCCCATGGACTCCTCTGGTCCTCAAATTCAACAGTACAGAAGTAAACAAGCAGGCACACACTGAAAACTCCAATTTGGCTTAACAGCAACATCAATTGAAGTCATATCTCTTTTTAAGACAATGTCTCTCCCAGTATAGCTAAGTTTGGTCTTTGAATCCATGATCCCCCTGCCTCAAATCAAACTCTGGTATTATATGCATATCCCATCACATTCAGTCAGGACACCATTTTTCTCACCCCATCCCCCGAGACTTTAAAAGAAAAACTAACCACAAATTTTTAAAACACATTCAAGACTATAAACTATTAGAGATCAGCGAAGCTTCTAGAATGACCGACCACTGAAGAGCAACGACAAGCTATTGCTAAGAACAATGAAATATACAGCATAAAAGCTAGTCTACTGCCAGGCGGTGGTAGCGCACGCCTTTAACCCCAGCACTCTGAAGGCAGAGAGAGGCAGGCGGATCTCTGTGAGTTCGAGGCCAGCCTGGTCTACAAGAGCTAGTTCCAGGACAGAAACCAAAAACTACAGAGAAACCCTGTCTCAAAAATAAAATAAAAAAGGGCTAGTCTACTAAAGTTCAAATAATATAGTACTCCAACCAGGAGTCTGGCAAGTGATTCACCTGAACAGCCCAATGGGATTGTCCCTCCCTGTGCCTTAAACAAACAAGCAAGTATTTGGGAGGTAAAGTCAGGAGGATGAAGAGTTTAAGTTATAAAATCCTGCCTCAAAAAAAGAATCAAAAATAAAAATATTAATAAAATTAGGGCTGAGGATATGACTCAGTGGGAGGGAAAGCACTTGCCTATGGTGAGTGAAACCATGAGTCTGATTCCCAGCACTACAAAAGGAAAGGGGAGGGTTGTCGAAATAAGCTGGGCATGATGGTACATAACTAGGACTCAGGGCTGAAGTAGAGAATCAAATCAGTAAGACCAGCATGAGCTATAAAGCAAATTTCTAACTCCAAAAACGTTTTATATTCTGCTGGAAAAATAATTCAATTTAAATATTCTCCATAACTTAACAAAACCAAATTTTATACCAAGTAAACTGCCTTCCTCCCTACCCTTCAGAAAATGCTACTTTTGCCCACTAAATTAAAAATGGCCAAAAATTACCATTCCAGTCTTCAAGAACAAGAGCAGACCAAGAAAAGCCTAACTTTACCACAGAACTGGACCACATCCAGAGAATCAACAACTCTAGATAAAAGCAATCTGTAAACTCAAGCCTCAGAACAAAGAAAACAGGAACCTTCTCTTAATTTTTGAGATAGGGTCTCACTAAATTGTTTCAGGGTAACCTTAAACTCACTCCAACTCAGGCAGGCCTGATTTTTTTTCAATCGTCCTTCCTGAGCCTCCTCAGTAGCTGGGAATGAAGGCTTGGATCACCAGGCACAGTGGATATTTTCTAAAATATCCTCTTCCAAGAAAATATACTGCTCTGGGAGAGGCTCTAAATTCAGTTCCTAGAACTTAGGCAGTTCACAACTACTTGTAACTCCAGCTTCAAGGGACCAGATGCCCTCTTCTGGCCTCCTCAGGCACCTGCATGCATGCATGTCCCCAACCCAGATTCACCTAAATAAATCTTTAAAAGAAAAAGGGAAAAGCAAACAAAAAACAGTCACACCAATAAAATATTTTCTTTCTTTCTTTCTTTCTTTCTTTCTTTCTTTCTTTCTTTCTTTCTCTCTTTTTTTTCTTTACGAGACAGGATTTCTCTGTAGCTTTGGAGCCTGTCCTGGAACTAGCTCTAGCTCTTCTAGACCAGGCTGGCCTTGAACTCAGAGATCCACCTGCCTCTGCCCCCGAGTGCTGAGGTTAAAGGCAAAAGATACTTTCTAAATTCCGATACCAAAAGGAATGTTCACTCTGGTAACCTCACAACATGATGGGAGAACACCCAGGGACCTTAATGCCTAGGTGGCATAGACTTAATTAATCATACATTAAAATACTAGCTGGTCTTTCAACAGACATTAAAATCATAAAGACTATGCTCTAGATTCCAAAGACAGTTTAGAGTTAAAAATTATTTTCTCCAATTCAAGTAATTCCCATGTGGTCACTGAAGTTCTCTACAAATTGCGAGCTTCTGATCAAAGGCAATTTAAAATCAAAGATCATTTGGTTTGTGTAAAATAAGTCAAGAATTTTGAATTTTAAAGCAAAAGAACCCCATACTTGCCTTTTCTACTTAAAAATCTTTAAAAACCCAGTAGCTGAGGGGATGAGATAAGCCTTCAAAAGGCCATTCTGGGTCACACATGTTAAGACCCAAGCAAAGTACTTAGGATCTACAATCCCATCTCTACGGCAGTGCTAATTCTTGGAGATGCAGGAAGGGAAAAGCAAGGCCTCAGGAGGAGGGTGGTGGCTTTATGAAAGAATGTTCAAGTTCATGACTAGGGTGCTGAGTATACAAGGTTTCATCGTAAATACAAATCTGTACCTGAAGCCAGGTGGTGGTGAAGTAAGCCTTTAATCTCTGAAGGCAGTAGGCAGATGCAGGTAGGTCTCTGTGAGAGCAAGGTCAGCCTGGTCTACAGAGCTAATGCCAGGACAGGCTCCAAAGCTACAGAGAAACCTGTCTCAAAAAACTAAGAGGATGGAGAAATGGCTCAGTGGTTGAGTACTTACTACTCTTCCATAGGACCTAGGTTCAGTTCCCAGCAACCACACGACAGCTTGCAATTGTCTATAACTCTAGTTCCAGGGGACTTGACACCCATGAACATAAAATAAAAATATAAAAAGAAAGCGGGGGGGGGGGGGGGGGGGACACACGACTAAGTGCAAGCACACGGTATTTAGTTGGAAACTAAAAGACCAAGAGTTCAAGGTCAGTGCTAGCTCACTGCTTTTCCAGAAAGCCAGGTACAGTTCCCAGCACCCAGGTTAACAGCTGTTAACTCAGACATTTAAAAAGAAATCTACAGTAAGTTCTCAGAGAGCTCTGAGTTACAGGAGGAGCTATTTGGGGGGAAGGGGAGTGCCACCGAAGGTCAAGCACAAGCATGTTAAAAATTCAAATCCATTTTAGCCAACTAAAAAATCCAAACACTTTCAAGTAGGGAAACTCTCTCACGGCATTTTAGAGCTGGCGGCTAATTTAATGATACCAGAGGACTGCCTTTGCTCAAAACCAGGAGAGCTGGGCTTCAAGAAAATGTGCCTAGTACTTTTACCCGGGACAGGTTATAACCCCACTTGTAATCACACCCTACCTTATTTGCATTGCCTGAACTCTTAGTCCGCTGTAATCAACCTCTTTTTGCTCAAATTCTTTCCACTCATCTTCCTCCTGTGGAATAAATATCATCCGATTAATTAGAGTTCTTGGTCAACACGTTCAGACCAGGGAAAAAAGGGATAGGGCCATCAGGAATCCTCAGCTGGTAGAGGAATCTGCAAAACATCGGATTAATTAGAGATCTTGGTAAACAGGTTTCAGACTAGGAAAAAAAAAAAGCGATCAAGGGCCACCAGAATTCTTGAGCCGGTAAATGACCTGCAGCCAGCCCTGAAGACCTCAGGCTGATTCTCTGGGCCCACATGGGGGGAAAGAACTTACTCCCTCAAGTTGTCTCCAAACTCCCCCGCACGCGTACACATGAGCGCGCACAACACACAAATGTGATTTTCTTTTTTTAATTGCAGAAGTACGACACAAACCTGTAATCCCAACACTGGGGAGGCAGAGGCCAGGCCAGGTTTTTTGTGAATTCGAGAGCAGGCCAAAGAGACCCCGTTTCAAAAAAGTAAAATAAAATGGATCTAGCGGCTGGATTGTAAAGTACAGCCTGAGTCCCAGAAAGATCCCGACACGTGCCTTGTTACCAAACGCCCTCTCTGCCGCCGCTTTTACTTAAAACCAACTACAGGGGAAAGCCCGGCGAAGAAAAATCCAGAGCAATTCCACAACTCAATTCCCGGCTCCCTGTGGCCGCGGCTGGGAGAACAAGCCACACTTCGCCGGCTGCACAGAGGAGGCTTAAAACACCTGAAAAACCGAAATCCAGTGCCAAGCAGGCTCCAGTGCGGCGGCGGCCGAGAACGGCACGTCACTCGGGGGACCGCGGCCCGCCCCAACCCCCGTGGCCCAGAGGGCGCGGCGCGCGGAGGACGGCGGACGGGGGGGACAAGCAAGCCCCGGGGGCACCCCGAGTCCGCCCGACGTGCGAAGCCCCAGTCACGTGGCCTCCCGGGCCGGCGGGGGCGGGCACACGCGGCCGGTCGCCGGCCTCCCAACCCTTACCTTCGTTACGGCCTTGCCGGCGGGGCCCGTGCTCCCGCCGTCCCCTGGCCTCGAGGTCCCACCGTCGCCCGACCTGGCGCCGGAGCCCAAGCTCCCGCCATCGCCCGACCTGGCGCCGGAGCCCAAGCTCCCGCCGTCGCCCGACCTGGCACCGGAGCCCGAGCTCCCGCCGTCACCCGGCCTGGCGCCCGCCGCCGCGCTGCTCCCGCCCGCGCCGCTCGCCGCGTTGGCCGCCCGACTGCTCCGCTCCTTCTTCTTCTTCTTGTCCCTCTTGGCGAAGAAGTTGTCCAGGCTCCGCTCCTCGGTCTCAGCCATGGCCGCGGCCCGGATGGGTGGGGCCGCTGGCGGACGCGGCGTTCGCGGTTCGGGGCTCTGGGTCAAGGCCGGCTGTGCGCTCAGGCTGCCGGGTGCGGCGTCGCCTCAGCCCCGCGGGGTCGCCGAGGAGAGGGCGGCAGGGCGGTCGGCTTCCCCCTCCCCCGCGCTCCGGGGGACGGTGGTACGCTCCTCGCCGGGGCCGCAAGCGCAGAGCAGGGTCGCGCTCGCCCCGCTGCCTGAGGGACGAGGAAGGCGCGCACCGGCAAAGCGCACAGCGAACGACGGCGCGTGCGGGAGGAAGACGCGCGGGCCTGAGGAGGGGAGAGGGGACGGGGAGGGGAGGGAGGGGAGGAGGGAGGGCGGGCCACCAGCAGAGAGAGGCAGCGCCGCGCCTGCGCGCTCGGTTCCGCCCGCTGCTATGGGCGCGCCGAGGGGGGAGGGCGGCGGGAGGATACGGGGGCGGAGCTCCCGGGAGAGCCAATCAGACGCCGGGACGGAGCTCTTAGGTGACAATCCGTTCCTCCGACGGGGCGGTGCCGGACATGGGGGCGGGGAGAAGCGGGTGTCTGCAAAAGGAGTGACGTCCTAGCGACTCCTGCCTCCGATTGGCCAAGGGTTTGCCTTGGGGGCGGGCATTTAGAGGGTTGGTGACTTGGCTGAAGAAGACCAGCCGGAGGGGGCGGTGTCTGCCTTGGTTGCGCGCATGCGTAGGGTACACGTGCGTCGGCTCGCCAGGACTGTGGCCTGGTAGGCATTTGAACTTTCAGGAAAGAAAGAGACCGTGTTAAGCCAGCTGTGTTCAAGCTTGTTCCTCCTGCCCTCCTCTTTTCTGTACCTGCACCCTCTCTGGTCTGGCGCCTAGCTGCTTGTGATCAGGATGCTTTTGATGAGCAGTGGATTAGCACTTGTTGTTATTCCCCAGAAGGCCCCTGAGCGTAGCTCGCCTGGGGAACTACACTTGTAGTTCCATTTATTGAATGATCTTTAATAATCCAGGAGATAAATGAAAGGGAGCTGATTTTGAACTTCATCCTGGACTAGATGTGTCCCCCAGGGTCAGGGTAGATGATCTGACCTTCTAACGCTAGCTCTTGTGAGATGGAGAATGACTGGCAATGCGATTTAGTGGTACAGAGTTTAACAGACACACATGGGCACTGGGTTCCATCCACAACATCACAAAAAGAAAACACACACAAGAAAACCCCTCCTTTTTCTGGGCCTGCACTCTCTCTGCACCTACTGATATATCTCCCATCCAGAAATCTTTTTGTTTGCTTGAGGGAGGTATTTTCTTGTGAGACAGGGTCTCGCATATCCAGGCTCTCTGAATGCCATACATAGAAAAGATAACCAACTTCTGATCCTGACATCACCTCCCAAGTGCTCAGAGCACAGACATGTACCACCCTGCCTATATTATGTGTTGCTGGGGATTTCCATTCTTGCTACTCAGGCTGTCTACTAACTACCAACTGAACAATGAGCCAACACAGATTTTTTTTATTTTTGTTTTTTTAATACATGAATGCACCTAGAAACCTCCTACCTTGACTGGAGTTTGAGTGGGAGCTACAGTTTAACTCTGGCTCCTATCTGGGATCTGAGGCCAAAGAAAGGAAACAACCGCAAGAGAAAGAAATGAGAACCAAAAATACCCGGTTTCCACCTGACTTGACCTTGGGGCCCTGAGAATCAAATGTGTGTTTCCTCATGAAAAGTGTGGTCTAGGTGTAGTTTTAAACACCTGCTTCCTCTTAAGGGTAGAGGAGAAAGCTGTGACAACCACTGAGGAAATGGCTCAGACCTAGGTCTGTTGCCCTGTGGGACAGAACCCAGTCAGTAAATGGAGAGGTGCCTTTTCCATACCAGTCCACCTTAGAAGTCCTACCCTAGTCGTGGCCTTTGAAGAACTGAGTTCTGAACATATCAAAGGATAAAACAAGGCCCTAGGGGTTGCTATTGCTGCCATGAAACACCATGACCAAAAGGCGAGTTGTGGAGGAAAGGGTTTAATTTGGATTACACTCCAGCATTGCTGTTCATCACTGAAGGAAGTTGGGAAAGGAACTCAAACAGGGCAGGATCCCAGAGGCCGGAACTGATGCAGAGGCCATGGAGGGGTGCTGCTTACTGGCTTGCTTCTCATGATTTGCTTAGCCCACTTTCTTATAGAGCCCAGGACCAACAGCCCAGGGATGGAACCACCCACCATGGGCTCAACTGTCCCCCAATGATCACTAAATAAGAAAATGCTTTACAGCTGGATCTCATGGAGGCATCTCCTCAACTGAGGTTCCTTCTGATGACTAGCTGGGGTCAACTCTGACACACAAAACCAGCAAATACAGCCCTACAGCTGTAGCCAATAACAAGCAGCCCTTTCTTCCTTCCTTCTTTCCTTCCTTCCTTCCTTCCTTCCTTCCTTCCTTTCTTTCTTTCTTTTTTTTTTCCTTTTGTTTTTGAGACAGGGTTTCATGTAACCATGGCTGTCCTGGAACTAGCTCTGTAGACCCAGGCTGTCCTTAAACTCAGATGCACCTGCCTCTGCCTCCTAAGTGCTGGAATTAAAAGTGTGTGCCACTACACCTGGCTAATAAGCAGACATATTAGTTCCCTTCTCCCAACCTCCCAGGATGGATCCTTTTGTGATACCACATATCTTCCTGTGGTATTGGCCAAGTTCAACCCTGCCTGACACCACCACCTTTGTTTGACATCTATTATCAAAATGTCTTTATGCTTTCCTTGTCCCTTGTCTTCTTTCTTTCTTCTTCTTTCCTTCTTTTTCTGTGCTTTCCTGCCCTCTGTCTCTTTCTTTTCTTTTTTTCAGATAGAGTCTCACGTATCCCAAATACCCTTGAACTCCCTAGGTGGACGGAGCCAAGGATGATCTTGGACCTCTACCTCTTAATTAGCCTTTTTTTATTTTAAGACAGAGTCTCACAGCCGGGCGGTGGTGGCCCATGCCTTTAACCCCAGCACTCTGGAGGCAGAGGCAGGTGCATCTCTGTGAGTTCGAGGCCAGCCTGGTCTACAAGAGCTAGTTTCCAGGACAGACAGGTTTCAAAGCTACAGAGAAACCCTGTCTCAAAAAAGGAAAAAAAAAAAAAAGAGTCTCACTATACAACCCTGGCTGGCCTAGAACTCACAGAGATCTTCCTGCTTCTGCCTCGCTCTGCAGGGATTAAGGGTATGCACCGCTTGAGACTATCACCATTTTTTACCAAGTTTGTTTCACATGTCTAGACAACTATTTTACCAACTGAACCCCAGACCCTTCCCCCCCCCTTTTTAAAAAAAAATGTGTTTATTTTATATATGTGTGTGACTGCATGTATGAAACTATGCACATTGGATCTCCTAGATCTGGAGTTACAGGTGACTGTGACCACCTTATAGGGGTGCTGGGAACCGAACAGTGGCCCTCTGCAGAAACAGGAAGTTCTCTTAATCACACAGCCACCTCTCCAGCTAATTTCTCTCTTCCTTACGATGAGGTCTTCCTGTGTAGTCCTGGCAGGCCTTTAGTTAACACTTCTGCTTCTGTCTGTAGAGTGTTGAGATTATACACCTACACTACCAAGTCTGTGGGGGTTTTGTTGGTGGTGGTGGTGATGGTAGTGGTGGTGGTGTCGATAAATGTGGGGTTGGTGCATATGCACCCGTGTATTCATGATTGCTTTGGAAGCCAGTGGACAACCTTAGGTGTCCAGGCCTCAGGTATCATCTACCTTGTTTTGTGGTCATTTGTATACGTATGTGTGTGACAAGTGCCATGGCGTGTATGTTCCTGCCAGAGGACAACTGGCAGGAACCTAGAGGATCAAACTCAGGTAGTCAGGCATGGCATCAGGTACCCTTATCCACAGAGCCATTTTGCCACCCCGCCTTGTTTTTAGGGACATAGTTTCTCACTGGGTTTGGCATGTACTAATTCAGCTATGCTGGCTGGTGAGGGATTACTAGGGACCCACCAGCCTCTGCCTCCTCAGAACTAGGATTACAAGGGCTCCTGTAACCAACCAAGAAGGGGGTGGGGACACTTAACAAGAGCAACTCACGGGAATAGCTACTGTTGATTTCAGGGCAAGAGAGTCAAAGAAGAAGGGACCAGTTTCACACTGGAAAGACTAACTCCAGGTGACACAGCCTCAAAGACACTGGCCTCACTATTGGCCTGACCTCAATCTCTTACACATGATAGGGTTTGGGAAGCCTGCCATCAATCACACTGCAAAACACAGGAGGGAATTCTGTTGTGTCAACCCTTGGCTGCAGTTGCTTCTCTGGGTTTGCTCAGGGCATTGATTCCTTCAGGACTATCATGTATTGTTGATGAGGACCCATTTATTCATATCTAGAGCTTGTCTTCCGTATTATTAAAGAATTGAAGGCAGGTGTTACTCATCTTTGAGTAAGGCACAGTGTCTCAAATGTAAGCGAACGAGTGCTTCCTAAAGGAGAAGGGGCTAGGGAGACGCCTCAGCCAACAGCTTGCCCTGAAAGCGTGGGGACCCATGTGAAAAGCTGGGCATACGCTAGCCCGAATCCCACCATGTCCTCCCCCTTCATCCTCATCTGGATGCATCTCCAAAGCACCCTCAGCTCTTGTAATCATCCCTCTCCCAGTGTTCAGACCATCTTCGTTCTTAAAGCCAAGCAGATCTTCTCTTGTGCTTGCTGCTGGAGAGAGGAAGTGACGACTGAGAACCTCTGAAATAGTCCAAAGCAGAGAGACAAGGTAGCAGTCTGAACATGGCCACAAGAGGAGGCCAGGGTCGGGGATGTAGCAGGGAACAGGAGGGGTAGAACGAGAGGAGCCAGGATGACAACATGGACTCTGTAACAGATATTTGCCATGCTCAGAGAACCTGGAGGCCAACATGGGCACTGGTATGCTGATAGGTACCACAGTTAGCCATTTGTCCAGGGTCTGCTGAGCTCCGATATTCTGAGTTCAAGAGCTAGCAAAAGGCAGCTGAGCAGGCCCATTGTTG